TCTTTCCCTCAATAAGTATCGAGTGGGATCATCAATACATGGTGACGAGTTTCAGCGCATTTCACTAGCCGTTGTGGAGATGCTCTCTCTGTCAATCAGGGACAGCAGTGGTAAAAGGGTGGACTTACTGATCTCTGTTGCTATCACTGTAATGTTGTGCCACAGCAATGTTTCTCGGTCAAGAAGTTTCGATGTAAAAATTGAACCATTTCCAGAATCGATGTTGAATATTCTGTCCATATCTGTGTGTCGATCAACAGAATACCTGATAATGCAGAGCAGAATTTAGAAAGGTTTTCTTTGATTTGCTATTCTCGCAACCTAAAACTATTCCCAGAAAATCTGTTGCATGAATTTTTTTCTACCTGTAGCACATATTTGAATATCGGTAACTTAATATTAAGCAAAATATTCTGATAAATTATTTCTTTACAATTGAGGTCTTAATAGTACACCCACTAGACAAGTTGCATGATTTTGAGTATCATTACTAAAGTCTCATTTTAAAAAAATGTAATTTAGATCAAGTTTATATAGTAATTTTACATTTTAACTTAAGTTTTTAGACGTTTGGTTAGGACTTTAATGTGTGTGTGTGTGTGTGTGTGTGTGTGTGTGTGCGCGCGCACGCACATAAGTAGGGTTATTGGCTACTTTTCTATTATCCATTTTATTTAAAAAATCGTTATCTTGAAAAAGCAAAAGATGGTTAATGTGGCTGAGGTTAGTGAATCTGGAGAGGGAAATAGCAGACGAGCTTGTGGAGAGATCCGCAGTCGGGACTGTAGAAGGATGGGCTGGCTGTGGAGAGGAGTTGGAGTTTATTTGAACTTGATGTGGATCTTCCAGTGGATTTTAAGCAGAGGAGTGTCACCATCTAACTCATGCTTAACAAAGATCACTGGCTGAACTGTGGAGAATGGCTGGATGGTGCTGTCACAAATGATGGGAGTGAAGAACAGGATTTGGGGAAGATCATAAGTTCCAGTTTTGATATGTTGAGGCCGAGGTGCCTGAGGAAAGTTCAGGAAGCTCAAGATAAACATCCAGACTGACAATCTAGATTTCCTATTCAACACTCTAGGAAGAGAACAGGGAAAAATGCAAAGAATGGAGTTGCTTAAAGGATGAATGGGAGAATGGAGACCCACAGGGACTAGAACAGTGCCCAGAGTAGAGTAGGAATTTGATGAATCTTTAAAAAGGAGAGTTTGGAGAATTCAAAGAAAACCAAGAGGTGCTTTAGAAACCAAAACAGGACAAAGTCTTCAACGCTGAAACTGATGAAAGTCTAGTAGATTTTGAGAAATGTTATCTTCTTTATAAATTTATTACTAGTGTCTGGAATAGTCATATGTAAGGGGAAAATATGTATACACCCTGTTTTATGGGGGGAGCATTAAAGAGAAAACTCAGGGGCTTCCCTGGTGGCGCAGTGGTTGGGAGTCCGCCTGCCGATGCAGGGAACACGGGTTCGTGCCCCGGTCCGGGAAGATCCCACATGCCGCGGAGCGGCTGGACCTGTGAGCCATGGCCGCTGAGCCTGCGCGTCTGGAGCCTGTGCTCCGCAACGGGAGAGGCCACAACAGTGAGAGGCCCGCGTACCGCAAAAAAAAAAAAAAGAGAAAACTCAGAAGAAAGTTGATATGCGAAGGCCATTATGAACAAAAAATTGCCTATTTCAGATGAATTCTCAAAATTTTAAAATGCCAACTCAGTAGAAATATATTTTAAGTAAATGTCCTACCTAGTCATACACATGTGGAAGTATTATGAATGCTTTTAAAAAAAAAACTCTTGTTACTAACTTGCAAATAGTGTACCATGTTCCAAGATTCTATTTCAATTAACTATTTTGTTTTAAAGTACTACTAGTGAATTATAATAAACAATGTTATCTTAATAAAATCTATTTTTGTCATCTAGCAGGTGTCTAAAAAATATATATTCCATTATTGTAGGCTATTTAAACTTGATTTTAAAAAGAATTAATGAAGTTCACAATGGATTCATATATGTTAAGATGGAATTTTAGTTTCAGTTTACATAAATCTAGTGTTTTATTATCAAAAGGGTTGAAACAGATGAAATAGCTACTGTTTTGCCACTTACGTCATGAATCAACCTTTATTAAGAATTTAGCCAATTGCATTGAACTTGCTTGATCACCTTTCTTCATCTTTGAGAATGATAAATATTTATAGGACATAATTACCAAAAAGGAAATCTCAGTATTCATAGCCTTTGTCAGGAATTTAATAATTTTCTACAAATATATTTTTTTCTTTCATGAAAAATGTCAAGTTTAAGACATGATGCTTATTGCCTTTATAAGCTGTTAACAGTTATACACAGCAGTAATCTTTTCTTGCTCGTTGCCTCTTTTCTTCCTGCCATAGTTTTAAGTTTTACAAGTAATTGTATTTTCCAATCAAGCCTTGAAATAAAGGGTAAGGGGTGAGGAATTTTTACTTGAAGGCGGCTTTTGATTTTAAAGAGAGAGGACTGTTTAGGAAATACCATAATTGTGTATTATTTTCTTTCCTTAATTGGGGATTTAAAAATTAATAGAAAACCTAAAATGTCTACATTGTTGAGGAAAGATATCTCATTTGAGGCACACAAGGCCTCATTTGTTTGTTGTTTTTCTTTCCAAAGTAATTTCTATTTATATCCAGAAATTTACTGTCCAGTCACATTAATAACTGATAAGGAAAAAGGTAACCAATCTCATCATGATTATAGCAGATCATTCTGCTAGGTACCTCGTTTTATTCCCTAGAACTTTACTGTATTCTGTGATTCAATAATTTGTCTTCTCGTGTATCCTGAAGGGAGATTTGTGGGTCAGGAAAAGAAAATGTGTTTGCCTGTAAATTTTTCATAATAAGTATTCAGAGTGACATTTTGTAAGACTTCCATGGAAATCAAAGGACATTTGTGATATGAAGTTGTTGGAAGAAAATTATTTTATGTGATTAAAGAATTAAAGATTTGTGCTTACATAATGATAAATCATTGTTTGGGGGAAGAATTCTCCAGTATTAATTGTGCACCTAACATTGTGTCTAGCACTTACTTGTGCAATATTTATGTCTTGCATAACCAAAAACTATGTGTGGTTGTAATTTCTGAATATAAGAATCAGTTTATCCTATAAAAAAACCCACTGGAATATGCATCTATATACCAATATATCTATGTGTATTTTAATCCTGAAAGCTATATCTATATATGAAATCCATATGTACCAAGGGAAGGCCGGCAGAAAAAACTTTAAAATTAGCTGACAGCCAACCTAATCTGACAAGCTAACTACTTCCTGTAATAAAACACAAAATAAATGCAATGGGTAAAAGTGGTATTTGGTATAAAAAGTAAAGCAGACATAAAAATGAAGCCTACATTCCCAGAAGACATTATCTCTTTCAATTAAAAGCATGTTGACTGATCAAAGAGGTAACCGAAGCTCATATTTATAAACTTCCAGCATTAGCCCTTTTAAATTGGTCTTGATGTTGACCTGCTAAGATTTTTGTCTTATGCAGTAACACGAACTCTGCACGTTGGGAAAGTACTTAAGATTATTTGTGTTGTAGGAGCAGAGGCCGTCATTCATTTTCCTTATTAATAATGTTAAATGTATACGGAGGAACACTTGACCCATGGGGCTCTCATGTGGCTGCTTTGGGTTGCCCATCATCCAATTTAAGGAGTCTACAGGTATTCCAGTAGAATGCTAAGACAACAGAGTCTGTTTTCCCAAAGATTTAAAATTATTCCCTGAAAATAAGCCTGGCATTTTTGAGTCTTAGATGTGGGACTTGCCATGAGGTTTCATTTGAACTCAGTGGCTAAAAAGTTGAACTCAAGGGCTCAATGGATAAAAAGTTGGAAAACGACTGCCTTAGAGCCTCAAACTCTTTCATCTGCAATAATATTCTTCATGCAGCAGCCAATGTGGTCCTCTTAGAGAGTAGTTTTGGATTAGTTTACTTTTCTACCCAAAGCTCTCCAGCGGCTTCTTACCTCAATCAGAATAAAATCCAGTGGTTACCAGCGCCTACAAACCCCAGCAGGCCCTGCTTCACTCACCACCTACCAAACCTCCCTGTTGCCTCATACAGTGCCACTCCCCGCCTGCGTCCCTCTCTCAGCTGCGGAGGCCTCTACTCCTACCTGCCAAGCAAGCTCTGATGTCAGACCTTACCCTTGCTTTCCCCTCTTGTTGGCATGTTCCTCCCCCAGAGAGCAGTGTGGTTCATCCCTTCATTTCATTCAAATCTTTACTCAGATGATTTCCAACAAGGCCAAGCCTGACCACACTATCTAAAATGGTACCCCAGATACCCTTTGTTTTCTATGCTCTGTCTTATTTTACTGCTTACACTTTAGTTTCACCTGACATAGCACATATTTATCATTTGCTTATTTCTTTCTTCCCCAATTAGAATGTAAGCTCCATGAGATCAGGACTTGGTACTGTTCTCTGTCATATCTCTAGTGCCTAGAACATGCCTGGCACATGGCAAGTGCCCTGATCAGAACAGATCTGTAGACTCACGGGTACCGCTTCTCAGTCTGCTTACTTTCTTCATGAGGAATAATTTACACAATAATATTCTGGTTTAGCACTTTTCTCATCTAGTCAACTAAGCTACTGGTAAAGGCTCAAAGTTGTTGACTCCAGTGCTTTCATGATAAGATTCTAGAATGCTTAAGCAGTGGTGGTCTCAAAGGGCAATGAGGCTTTCTTACAACATGATTTACAATGAAGGTGTAAGGAAAGTACAGGGAAAATAGAGCTTGCTTACATAGTATATATTTGGATTCAGCTCTATTAATTTAATTTCCCCAGGATTTCACAGACGTATATCATGAAACAGTGCTTGTTTTTATCCATGTCTGCAACAGAAAAAAATTATGCATCCAAATGGAGCATAATTCTGCCTGTAAGTGTTACATGGTGGTTCTTCCACGCTTGAAAAACTGACTTTCAAGCACAGTGCCGTGTTTGTTAAAAATGCTTTCTCCATTCCACACCAATCTCTGACAAATCTAAGACCTAAAAAAAAAACCCAGACCATTCAGCTGCGTTACCTGTACCACTTCCATGTAAGCAGTAACCTCCTTATAGCTCATTTTATGTTTTTTCACCCCAAATTTTGAGTTTTTTAGGTTTACATCGTTGCTAAAATAATATTTTATGATGAGCAAGGAGAGCAGAGTTAGTAAAGATACTTTAAAGTAGTTTTTTAGGAAGACAAAACTAATTGGAAAAACGGGATTCCTCTTTTCCAACTTACAGGTGAATATTTGAATATAAATCAACAAACTTATGGAAGAGACATGTCACAGACGTGTGCTTACTTGACAGGATTTCGGGCAGCATCTGGATCTTGGGCTGTGACTGAGCCTATTGTCGTATTTATCTGAGCATCTTCTCTTATTTGTAGGACGTAGGCCAGTTTGCTGAAGACAGGGGGCTCGTCTACATCTTCCACCATAATTTTAACTGTGGCTGAATCTTTGAATGGACCCAGGTAGAGAAAGCGGGGTTCAGTGTGAGGGTTGGAGGCTTCCACTTTGAGGCTGTACACTTTCTTCTTTTCAAAGTCCAAGAGCTTGTGGGGGGTGCGGGGAGGAAGAAGTGACATATTTAAAGCAGCCAAGACACAGAAAGCCAAGGCATGAGCCATTTTTAGGGCAAATCACCGATAAATGAAAGTGATCATATTGCTTTGAGACATCACTACACAGCGTGATATTGGGTAAAGACATTGGAGTTCAGATACTACACAATCCTGATGGAAGTGTGGGCTGAAATCACGCACCAGGGGTGCAAGTTATGATGGGCAGGAGAGGGAACCTAGAAGCAGGAGGGAACCTAGAACAGGCCCCCTTTAAAAAAAATCCTTATATTTGGGCTTCCCTGGTGGTGCAGTGGTTGAGAGTCCGCCTGCCGATGCAGGGGATACGGGTTCGTGCCCCGGTCTGGGAGGATCCCACATGCCGTGGAGCGGCTGGGCCCGTGAGCCATGGCCGCTGAGCCTGCGCGTCCGGAGCCTGTGCTCCACAATGGGAGAGGCCACAACAGTGAGAGGGCCACATACGGCAAAAAAAAAAAAAAAAAAAAAAAAAAAAAAAAAAAAATCCTTATATTTGACTACAGGGAGCCTCGCCAGGAGCAGGTTGGCAAATATGTAGTAGATCCTTCTGTGTCAGATGTTGTCACGTTTGGCTGTAATTGAACAGCTAATGAGTGCTTAAAATTTGCCAAGGGACTTCCCTGGCGGTCCAGTGGTTAAGACTCTGTGCTTCCACTGCAGGGGGTGTGAGTTCGATCCCTGGTCAGGGAAATAAGATCCCACATGCTGCGTGGTACGGCCCCAATTTTTTTTTTTTTTAATTAAAAAAAATTGCCAATATCTGAGCCCCACCCTGGACCATTAAACCAAAATATCTGGGGTGGGGATGGCAATCTATACTTTTAAACACCTCCCCTAGTGATTCTACTGTGCAGCCAGGATGGAGGACCACTGGTCTGCAGCATGATTCCCTGTTCTTCATTCAGATAAAATAGATTATAAATGGGTTTTTTTTGGCATGAGTTGATAAAATATTCCAAGTGATATCCTGATAAGGGCATCCGGCTAATTACTTGCCAAAGAAAGTAATGATCATTGTTGTCAGAGGTCTTTAGGAGAAATATCTCTGCTTCTGGAGACATAGTGAACCCAAATGCTTGTTGCTGGCTTTTAGTTTTAGATGATAATATGACAAGGCTCACGAGAAACACAATTAATCAAGATGTTAGTGAATGTAATTTAGTCAGCTAGGCAAAATTTCAGATTGAATCTGATAAGGCACCAAGAATATTAAAAAGGTTAATGCACACTAATGGGCTCCCTAATTATATTATAGTATAAAACATTGATCTGAATGTCACTTAAACATGTTTTATTGTGTTTCCAGATATTAAGGCATGTAATCCAAAGCTTAAGATGAAAATTTTTCTTCTTATTTACATCTACTTACGCTTATATTTACCAGCAAATACAACAATATGTGACAGGAGAGAGAAAATATTACACCATACATGATAAAAGTGAAATCTTTTTAAAAAGTAACCAAAACTAATATTATTTTCAGCTTTGAAGCACACAGTTTATTGGATTTTAATTTTTGCCATATTTTAGTATACTGCTCCGTGGTACCAAACAATTCTGGGGGTTAAATATTTAGTGAGTAAGTACATAGGGGAAAATAGGAATTTAGAATATAAAATCTTTATTATTGTGTTCCAAAAAGTAGCTAAAGAGCTTGCAGGAAATTTTGCTACTTTATTTTTGTGGTCTTTATACATCCTCTCTAATTCAAACCATCTTTATCACTGCTTGTGTTATTCTCTTCCTTCAAAGCACGCAACAGAGTTTGTAGTTATACATGTTTCTTTGTTTATTTGCTTTCTTGTCCTTGGGAGCAGTTCCCTGAGAGGAGAGACCATCCTGTTGAATGTACTATTGCACCTCCAGCATCTAGAACAGTGTCTGGAACTGTTTTAAAATTTATTCTTCACTTATATTATTTATTTCGTGTATTTTTTGTATATCATTTGTTTATATTGTTTATTTACTCAGGAAGTTTTTAATAAAAATTTATTGAAAGTATAGAATTAATGAATGTATAAGATTATTGAGGACCCCTGGAAGCCAACCAAAGAACTCTCAATGTCATTAGACTAGGTCTTAAAAAGAAAATTAATAAAACAAGACTTGAGAGGAACATTCATGTGAGATGTAATTGCCCCCAGTTACTTAGGGACCAGAGAAAAGTAAATGCCTTCATTTGTGTGGTATTTTAAAAAATACATTACCTTTTTGACAGTTATAATCCCTTCCTGGGTTTCCTGATCGGTGATGACATCAAACATGTCCAGCCCCTCTCCCTCTGTAATGCTGTACTCAATCTCAGCATTTTCTCCCAGGTCGGCATCACTGGCTTTGATCCTGCCAATTGGTGTACCCGGCGGAGATGATTCAGGAGTTTTAAATTGGTATGTACCTATTAATCACCAGACAGAAATAAGTCAAACACAGACTAATTACACTCCATCATACTAAAAACAAAACCCATTTTCTAGCAGTTCGTTCACACATTACCATGGATGCAGGCAGATTTGTGCTTTCCTTAAAATAATTAATGGTGCCCTAGTCTCCTTAACGTTTTTACTTTCATGATTGTTAAGAATATTTCTTCTATTTCATGACCTGTCTCGTGGCAAAGGGAAAACACTTTTCTTGTCCTGTAAGTAGGCTTCCAAGTTTATGGTGTGATTGTGAGAAAGTCTGAACTGTGAAAGGAGGGCGCAGAAGGTTGCAAAGACCCCTGTTAATGTAATCTAGCAGAAAGAATAAAAAAGAATTTAACCTGAACTGTGACTTTAAGCCAATTACTAGGTGTTCTTTAAAAGAGCTCTTTCTGTCATTGCTAATAATAGCTGAAGGTGAAAACAAATTACAGCACTTCCAGAATGTATCCAAGTAGAGATTCCTTCCCTCCGACATGAAGCTGGTCTAGTTGCAGTTAGGGATATAGGTAAATACATTGAGAAAAAAGCTCTTAATTTTTTCTAATTTTGACTAATTTCTTCCTTTAAATTTTACTGGCGTTTTTTCTATGCATAGATTTCTCCCATTCTTGTATTTATATTACTAATTTAAAAACTAGACATACACTTTTCTCATGTTGGAAAATACCTTGAAGGAGAGTACATGTGAGTTTCAGTTAGATCTGTCAGGCCAGCATGTGCTTAGGAACAGACAAATAGTAAAAACAAAACTTATTCTATTCCCACCCATTACATTTTGCCAACTATTTACACAAATTGCTTTGGAAAAAGAATTTAGACCATGACACTACTAAAATATAGTCCTTCAACAATATTTAATCCACTAAGTATTGATTGTGCTCATCCTTGGTAAAATGATAAAACATGCCAAGTTTTTCTCTAGTGTATTCCACTTCCCTTTCGGGTGCCTCCAGCCCCTTTCTATAATCTCCGGTCCCTTGCCTCGGGACATTAAGCAGTAATGATCACGGTCTATTTATTCAAGGAGAGAGCACAGAGCGGGAAGGTCCCGTGGTATGGGTAATCCTTCTGTTATCCTTCCCCAGGACATCCCCATATGGAAAAGGAGGTTTCTGGGAAAAGTGCTGGTGATTCTGATCTTTTCATTTCAGGCCTCTGTGGGGGATATATTAGCGTTCATAGAACCTTTCTTCTCCCCGATAAATCAGAAATTAGTTAGCTGTTCTGTTTTTGCATTTAACTGTGATTAAAATACTTGAAAAAAGTAAACAAGATAAAACTATTTCCTGCTG